GATACTCTAAATATCAACATTTTATATTATAAATTACATTTTAAGATACTCAATGCATTTTGAAAGTTCTTTTCCTTTTAATAGGAATACTCTTTTCAATGTTCTCTTACTTGGAAGGTAGACCTTATATGCTTTAAGTAGGTTAGAGGATCCATCAGACAGTGAAAGGATGAAGTAGTTTTCAGATTCGATAACATGAATAAAATCCTTGATATCTCAGAATCATGTATCTGCTTTGATATTCTGTAATAAGATCCATTATGAAATTCCCTGTTTTCTAAAAAATAAGATTTCTTACATTCACTATCTTCTCTGAAATACACCACCATACATTTCCACTAACTTTGTAAATTTAGATATCTTTAGAAAGTTAAAATGAACAATGGAATAACGGATAGCTACGGACAAGCAATGACTACAGATGGCTAAGCGGATATAGGTAGAGACAGGGTGGTGTTGGAAATATTAGCCCTTAGAAACCAATTCGCCATTATCCTCTTTAGTCCCTAGGTGTTAGGAGAGGACTTGGTTGGGACAAGGTACTAAGGTACCTCAAGAGACTTAGCAGCTAGTAAAAAATAAGTAACAAAGAACTGTAGCATTTTCACAGCTGAACCAGCCTTCCCCAGATAAAGTGGCTACATATCAGAGTTCTTCATTTCTTGCCTATGTCAGTTGCAGTACAGGTGGACTGACAATTTTGCCAGAACTCAACCACGTTTATATTTACTATAAAATTACATTATACTTACATTTAATTAATGATTGCAGATTCATTTGTATATAAACATAACATAAGAAAGAAAGAAATAGCTGAGTGCTGGTGAGTCAGGCCTGTAAACATAGCTACTCAGGAGGCTAAGATCTGAGGATTATGGTTCAAAGCCAGCCCCGGCAGGAAAGTCTGTGAGACTCTTATCTACAGTAAACCACCAGAAAACTGGAAGTGGGGCTGTGGCTCAAGTGATAGAGCGCCAGCTTTGAGCTGAAGAGCTGAGGAACAGCGCCCAGGCCCAGAAAACAAGCCCCAAAACCCACCAAAAAAAGAAAAAAGAAAAGAAAGAAATTATGGTTTGACTATTTTGGGCATATCTTCAGTAAATATACAAAAGCAACTATGTATTTGCTATTGGTCCATGTCCTACTTTAAAGAAAGATAGGCATTTTGCAATAGTATATGTGGTTGTATTTTTTATACAGTGTAACTTTAAAGTGCCACAGCTTTATGCCACAGCTCTACTTCTGGCTTTTGTTAGGTGGGTAGTTAATTGGAGATGAGTTTCACACAGACCTTCCTGCACTGGCTTCTCTTTGTACTGTGATCCTGACTTCTTAGCTTCCTGAATAGCTAGGATTATAGGTGTGAGCTACTGGCACCCAGTTAGGAGATTACTTTAAGAATGGAAGAAGAACTGAGTTAAATTTATGCATTGAGAAACTATATTGTACTCCAAAATGGCATTGCTTCCCTAATACAATTTTGAAGATACTTTGTTTATGTACAACTTCAGAATATAATCCCATCATGGGTAAATACCATTAAATCTATTATTTTAGAAAGATGTATATTATAAAGGTAATGCATCTATAGTATTATATTTTGGAAACCACAAAAAAGTAACTAAGGAACAAATTTCTCCAGTACTCAACTACTATAATATTTTAGTGTACTTTATTATGATATTATTTTCTGTGTATAAACATTTGTTAGTTTTGCTAGATTGGGTGTTATAACTGTGTCTTTCTCAAAAACGAGCACCTGTGTTTAGGTAATGAATGGCTAATAACCATATAGAATTTAGACTTCTTAACTAGAAACCAAAATAGACCATGTTTTCCTTTTGTATTGTGGAAAGGGGGTTTTCTGTTACAGCCATGTCCCCGAGGCCCTGTAAGTAGAACTAGATGGAGCCAGGAGTAAAATCGGGGAGGGGACTGATGCTCCCATCTAGCAGGCCGCCTGCTAAATGTATTACCTCTACCTTTCGGCAGTGGGAAAATGGACGTATTCTTACCAATCTTACGATTAGGGTACAAAGCTAAAACTATGTTGATAGAACTGACCGTTTATCTTAAGGCTATGGTCCAGGACCTATTGTGTTGACAGGTTTTACCATCATTGGTCTTCACTGTAAAGGACCACAAAGAATGTCTGAGAAAATACTTGGAGTACCCCATTTGAAAAGAAAGTAAAATCTGGTTGTGTGAAGTTGATCTTGATCCTTTGTCTCTTCATTTTATCTCTTTCAGTTGACTCAGTGCTATCAGTATAATAATGTAGTATAACTTGAATACATTCTCACTTCATACTAAATTCTGATCTTTTCATGGCATTTCTTGTTTTTGTAGTCAATAGTTAAGAATAAATAAATTACTCCCCAGTAAAGTTTTATACTGGTCAGACACTGTGCAAGAAGCTAGATACAAGTATAAACCGGTGGAACATATAACCTCTCCTATCAGGATTCTTTGCTCTAGAATGACTTATCCATACAGTGTACACCTTCTTTGAAAAATGCAGCCAATTTTGCCTCCTCTAATTTTTAAGGTGAAACTGACATTTGAAAATGCATATGCTGTGAAAAAGGAAACTATCCAACCAAGAAAGAAAAAGACACAGACAAACACAAGTGATTTAGTGAAGCTCTTCTGGGGAGAGGAGGTTGACAGCATCCAGACTCCTCCACATTCTCCACACATCATCATGTATCTCACACTGCATCTTGACTCGGAAACCTCAAAGGAAGAGGTGAGTGTGTGCTTGAAAGTGGAAGGTAAAAAGTAAGGACCTTTTGTAGTCTTTTCAGTAAATGTAGGCATGTTTTAGTTTGATTTAGGGAAGAATTAAAGCGAGTTACCTATTTTCAGACTTATTCCTTGTGTATTTTATTTATGAATGTTTCACACAACAAATGTTTTTTTAAACATAAGTGAATTAACTATTTAGTTGTTTCAAGCAGTAGGAAAAAGAGAAAGAAGATACTATTGCAGTATCTTCTAGCTTACAAGCTAAGCTCCTGTTACCCTGTACTCTTGTTATCCTGAACTCCTTTTTTGATTAGTCTTTATTGAGGTATTGCTTTTTATATATTAAACTAAACTGTGTTAAATGGACAATTTGTTGAGTTTTGACAAATAAGTACAAATATAGTTGTGTAAACGTCATGAAAGGTTCTCACATTTTGTAATCAGTTACCTCTTGCCGTTTATGTTTTACATATTTTTAATTCATATCTCAGTGTTTATTAAACAAGTGTGTCTGGTGTGGTATTAGATTATATGCCTTTGTTTTTTGAGGGGGGGGCAGTCCTGGGACTTCAACTCAGGGCCTGAATGCTGTCCCTGAGCCTCTTTGTGTTCAAGGCTAGCGCTCTATCACTTGAGCCACAGCACCATTTCTGGCTTTTTCTGAGCACTTTATTGAAGATAAGAATCTCACAGACTTTTTATGCCTGGGCTAGCTTCTAATTGCGATCCTCAAATCTCAGTCACCAGAGTAGCTAGGATTACAGGCATGAGCCACCAGCACCTGCCTAGATTTTATGTCTTTTTAGTCATAAATAAGAAAATAATCTAGCAGGGCCCTGGAGGATCACACCTGTAATCCTAGTTATGCGGGAGATGGAGATCAGAAGATTGAGATTTGAAGCCAATCCATGAGATTCTTATCTCCAGTTACCACTCAGAAAGGCCTAAATAGAATCCTAAAATTTGAATAGAAACCACATCTACAGAGATTTTTGAGCTTAAAGAACAAAGCTGTGGAGATATTATGCTACCAGACCTTGAAATATACCACAAAGCTAAATATAACTAAAATAACATGAGTTTGACATAAAACAGACACCTAGATGACCAAGAGAACAGAATAGAGTCCAGATATATCTTTATGCATTTAGAGCAACATAGGAGACAAGAAAATGGGGAAAGGACAGTCTCTTCAATAAATAGTGTTGGAACAATGACACGTCTACACAAGTTACAAATATCAATTTAAAAAGTTTAAACAAACACATTTCTCAGATTTTGAAATAATATTTCTTTGTCTTTAGAGTTCTATCATTGAAGTCAGTCTGTCATTTTTTTTTGTCATGAAAAAGTCCCAGCAAAGTCTTCTTTCCACTAGGCCTGTCCTCTGGCAACCAAAGACCACTATAGGAAAATGGGTTCATTTAAGATTTAAACCAAAGACGTTTCTTTGTCTTTTTTTGGGGGGCTGGGGGTCCGGTCGTGGGGCCTGAACTCTGGGCCTGGGTGCTGTCCCTCAGCTCTTCAGCTCAAGCCTAGCGCTCTACCACTTGAGCCACAGTGCCACTTCCGGCTTTTTTCTTTTTGCTTATGTGGTGCTGAGGAATCAAACCCAGGGCCTCAGGCATGCAAGGCAAGCGCTCTACCACTGAGCCACCTTCCCAACCCCATTTTCTTATGTCTTTTTGAGGATCTTTGTCTGAACTTACTGCTTGATTTTTATCTTGGAAGTCTGATATTTGTAAAGTGGGAATGCTCTCTAGCATTCTCGGTCTTGTACTTCAATTTCTGCCCCCTAACCAAGGGGCACTTTAGCATTGCCTGAGGATCTGGTCTCAGTTTACTGTAGTGGCACTCGTGGTACCAGTGGTACATGGTGGCTCAGCTTGCCACTAGCCCAGCATTCTGTTGAAGCTATCGTAAGCATCAACCCTTAGGATATTCCTATCTCTGTCCTTTTGCTCAGCATGCAGAACTCCTAGCTGAATCCCAGCTTCTTTTGTAGTGATGGATGAGGAGGGTGGAAGAATATGTAGAGGATGCCTTAGAAACCTCAGTACTTCTTGCATGCCATCAGTTCAACTAGCCAGGAAGCTATTTTTACAATAGAAAGCTCTCTCAAAGCATTTAGTCTAATATAATTCTCTGAGCAAAAGCGAGATCTGAAAAACGTTTAACTATTCTGAATTTTTTAAGCCTCTATTCCCTACATTTCCTGTGTGGTTCATCTGTCAATGAATGGTTCATATATAATGAATTATTACATGGCAAAAAATGAATGTACTATGTTTTTAAAATCATTTTCTTTGTTCTGAGCAACATATTGAGACCAAGAATTAATCATTCTTATTTCTTGTGTGTAATAGTGGCCCCTTATATCTCTAAAACAAGTGACACTTAGGAATTTATTATATAAAACATCAACAAATGTCAAGGATAACATCCAGCATTATTCCAGGTTGCTTTGGAGTAGGGCACTGCTAAGTAAGGCCTTTTGTCATCCTTGCCTCTTTCTCCCTGGGGAAGTGTGAACAGGTTTTTGTCTCTTCTAGCTATGTAATTAGGAAAGGCTTTTTATTCTTATAAAACAGAGTGGAGGCTGCTGCAAATGCATACTACTAACAAGTGCTTAAAAATGCAGCTAGTTAAATTGGGTAATAACTGAAGAGGATGCCAGGTCTTTAATACTAAGGGTTTGTGATTAGTATAGAGACCTATTAAAATGGTCTCTTTTACTAGTCATACTACTCCTCAATGCAATGTCATAGGGTCATTTTGTTTGAGCTTTTTTTTTTAAATGAGAATCTTGAAATACTTTTCATTCTGCTTTTTTATGACATTATGTATTTGGTAAAAACTTGGCATTTTTTAGCTACAAGATGTAGACTATAAGGACCGTAAACTAAGAGATTTGAAAAACTAATGACAGATTGTTTGAAATGGTGTTTGATGTTGCAGCTAAACCAGTGTGAAAGTACTTATTAATAAGCATTTAAATTTATGTGTTAGATAGACAAAGCAGAAGACCTTAATTGATGTTTGACTTAATTTCTAAGGATAAAATAATGTTTTGTTACAGTGGAAATATTATAAGAAAGTTTGAGCTGGATGCCAGTGGGCTCACGCCTGTCATCCTAGCTACTCAGGAGGCTGAGATCTGAGGATCGTGGTTCAAAGCCAGCCACAGCATCACTTCCAGCTTTTTCTGTTTATGTGGTACTGAGGAATCGAACCCAGGGCTTCATGTATGCTAGGCAAGCACTCTACCACTAAGCCACACTTTTAGTCCCAAAGCAGCTATTTCTAGTTTATCATTATTTATATTTGTCCAGTTGTAAAAATTCCAGTATATGGGGGCTGGGAAGGTGGCTCAGTGGTAGAGCGCCTGCCTTGTATGCTTGAGACCCTGGGTTCGATTCCTCAGCACCACATAAGCAGAAAAAAAAAGCCGGAAGTGGTGCTATGGCTCAAGTGGTAGCGTGCATGACCGGACCCCCTCCCCCCAAAAAAAATTCCAGTATATGGTCATCATGTTAGTAATGATTTCTAACACAAATCATTATCTTCTAACACAAGATAAACTGTAGAGAGAATCAAGGAGATAGGATAATGCTTGAGGAGATCAGGCTTGTGACTGTTAATCTGTGAGGAACTGAAAGCCACTCTGAATCATTCCTGGTTTCCAACCAGATGTTTTTATTTTGCTTGTTTTTGAGTTGCCTTGTGAGAAATTTAGATGTTGCCTAATTAGCAGCAAAAAGTGAGAAATACAATGGCTCATATTTTTGTGTTTGAAAAGTATTAAGATGGACTGGAGGTGTGGCTCAAGTGGTACACTGACATCTGTGAGTAGAAAGCCAAGTGAGAGCATTAGGCCATCAGTTGAAGTCCCAGTACTGGTGTGTGCGTGGACACGCGTGCATGCGCGCGCACACACACTTATTAAAAATACTAGCACACTGCACATCCTGAGCGATTTATTATTTTATGTATGTATGTATGTATGTTGGTTGGTTGTGGGTATTGAACTCTGGGCCTAGGTGCTGTCTCTGAGCTCTTCAGCTCAAGGCTAACACTCTACCACTTAAGCCACAGCTCCATTTCCAGTTTTCTGATGGTAAATTGGAGGTAAGAGTCTTATGGACTTGCCCCAGCTGGCTTGGAACAATGATGTTCAGATCTCAGCCTTTTAAGTAGGATTACAGGTCTTAGCCACTGGAGCCCAGCCTTATTAGTTTATTTTAATCAGCTGTTTGTATCCTTGGAATATACTGTTCTTGAAAATAGAGAAACACGTCACATTCTTTTTTTTTCTTTTTTTTTTTTTGTCGGTTGTGGGGCTTGAACTCTGGGCCTGGGTGCTGTCCCTCAGCTCTTCAGCTCCAGGTGAGCACTCTACCACTTGAGCCACAGCGCCACTTCTGGTTTTCTGGTGGTTACTTGGACTTTCCAGGTCAGACTGGCTTTGAACCTCGATCCTCACAGCGCAGCCTCCTGAGTGGCTAGGATTACAAGTGTGAGCCACCAGCGCCCAGCTGCACATTCTTAAAATAAAAACCATTTGTGGATTATCTTACTGACTAGAATAAAATATACTCTCCTTTAACATTTGAATTCAAATTAATTTGTAGTATGCAAATGCTTTCAAATTTAAGAAGGGTAAGATTATAAAACATCACCATATGCTTTCTATTTATACTACTTTATTGTTGCATTCTCACTTTGCAAGTATAATTGCAGTTTTGTCTTAAATTTAAATACATATTTTATGATTTTATCCCAAATGAAGAAATGATCTTTTATAAGCCAGTTGAAGGAATTTGTATTTGAAGACTCCTGATAGTTCCATGTGGTATATAGAGTTCTATTAACTGTAGGTAATAAGAATACATACAGAATGAAATGTAATGAAAGATTAAGAATAGAAATTGTTAACAGTGATTAAAGTTTAAAAGACTTAGAAATTGTAATTTCAAATAATCAGTATCCTAATTAGTATATATTTTAGTTATATGACCAATTGGCAGTTTCTGACTTATTTTCAAATATAGTTTTAATTTAATTTTATTTATTACCTAGAGAGAAGGAGGATTTTATAGCGGCACAAAATGGAATGGTAAATCTGACCCCAAAGCCTAAGTAGACACACTGGCAAATGGGTTGTTTTTAAATGCTAATTTAAAAATGGGTTGTTTTTAAATGCTAATTTAAAGATTCAAGGCATGCTTCTTCCATGGGTATAAAACCTCACTGAAATTGAAAAGATTATCTTTTCTGTTCTTAATACAGAATCTGAACTTGCCACAACAAAAATAATAGTTGGAAATTTTGATGTAGAGAGAGTTCATCATTTATATTTCCTTTCATTTAACAGCAGGAAATTCTGTATCATTATCCAAAGTCTGAAGCATCTCAGAAACTAAAAAATGTGAGAGGGATTTTTCTCACACTCTGTGACATGCTGGAAAATGTAACCGGGACACAAGTTACCAGGTAATCATTAATTTCTATTTAGTTCTTTTCTTGAGTGTATCTGGTTCTGAAGTGCTGCATATACTGGTATCTATAATGTATAGGTATCTGTATTGATGGGATATCTGCAGATATTTTGTTCATTGGCATTATGCCCAGAGTCATCTACTTGATTTATATAGTAGATTTTTCAATACAGCTATAGAGCAGGGTGTTTGGGCGCATTTTAATGAATAGTGTTTTAAGTTCTTCATAGGGCTGGGAAGATAGCTCAGTGGTAGAGCGCTTGCCTTGTATGTCTGAGGCCCTGGGTTCGATTCCTCAGCACCACATAAGCAAAAAAGAAAAAAGCCGGAAGTGGCGCTGTGGCCCAAGTGGTAGAGTGTTAGCCTTGAGCTGAAGAGCTGAGTGACGGCGCCCAGGCCCAGAGTTCAGGCCCCATGACCGGACCCAAAAAAATAATAATAACAAGTTCTTCATAAAAGTATTATCTTTTTTCAGCATGGAATTATGATTCCAGCTTCTTCGTGTTTTTACTGTGATTGTTACTTCGTTAGACAATGCTTTTGTAGTTGGCAAGAATGACTAAATCGTGATTTTTTTCACAGAAAATACTGTTTCCACAGAAGTGATAGAACAGTATAGTGTAGTATAGTGATAGAAAAATACAGTAATTACTTTAGGATATATATTCAGAATTTATTGTCCCCTGTAAGCAAAATTAATGTCAAATAATTTTTGTGTGTGTGTATAGGAGGGTACTAGAATTTGAACTCTGGGTCTACTGCTTTCTCGGCTTCTTGCTTATAGCTTATACTCAGAGCCATGCCTCCAGCTTTGCTTTTTGCTGGTTAATTGGAAAAAAAAAATCTCAATAGACTTTTTCTGCCAGTCTGGCTTGGAATTACAGTCTTGGTTGGTCTCAGCCTCCTGAGTAGCTAGGATTATAGGCAAGAGCCACTAGCGCTTGGCTGCAAATTCAAATTTTAAACATTAGGGCTGGAGATGTAATTCACTTCTAAAGCAGTTGTCTAGCATATATGAAGCTCTGGATATGATTACTAGCACTTAGGGGAAAAAGAAAAGAAAAGTACTAACATTGTATAGTTAGCTATAGAGCCAAACACCCATTCCAAATTGATTTATCAAGCCCCGACTGTAAAGTACCCTAATTAATTTGAGATGAGAGAATTCAATGCTTTTGATGTTTGTTTTTATAAAATCTTACTGATGAATTTTTTTCCTTAATATTTCATTACATTTGGAGCTTATAAAAATTTCAAATTTTAAGAGCCCTGTATTACTCATGAAATAATAAGTTGGAGTTTTAAGCCTGATTTTCCTTTTCCTACTTTCTCATAAATATTATACTATTACATTTTAAAAGGTAGTGTCTGTTAGAGAATAGGAAGAATTTGTTTTCTTAGATAAAAGTCATGCTTAAATCCATGAGTTTTAATGTGGTCATAAATAGAAATTAGTTCGCCTCATTTAGGGTATAAATTGCATTTATAAAAGCACTTTACCAGACCTCTTTTTATTTGTCTTTATATTTCATTTTACAATGCTGAAATCAAACTTGAGGCCTCACACTTTGCGGGGCAAATGCTATATACCACTGTGCTGTACCCCTAGTCCTGTTTTTCACATATGTGGGATGGGGAGGGGGTATGTGTGGTATGTGCGTGTGGCGTGTGCGTTCAGTCTGTCCTGGGGCTTGAACTCAGTGCCTGGGCACTATGCCTGTGCTTTCTAGCTCAAGGCCAGCACTCTGCCACTTGAGAGCCACAGCTCCATTCATGGACTTCCTGTCCCGGCTGGCTTTAAGCCAGTAACCTCAGCTCTCAGCCTCCTGAGTTGCTACAGGTATGAGCCACCTGAACCTGGCTTTCCCCCCCCCCCTTCCCTTTTTAAATGGTTTGTTGAGAAATAGAATTCATAAACATAAAATTCATAAAATCACAGATTTTAAAGGTGTACAAGTAATAATTTGATTTATATTCAGATATGTATAACTACCCCAAAGTCAATTTTAGAACAGTTTTATCACCTCAGAGAGAAATGCTGTGCCTTTTAGCTACCAGCTTGCTTAACTGTACCCTGTCCAAGCCCTATGCATGTATGAATGGAATCATATATGATTACTTGTGACTGTCTCCTACCATTTGCCATAGTATTTTTGAGGTGCAGGTCTCCTTTTAAAAGGCACCTTGTTTTATGTTTATGTAAAAAGCTACGTATGCAGCTAGCTCAGTAGTGTGGCAATGTGCTAGGCTCAATCCCTGGCACTGAGAAGGAAAAAATAAAATTGAATTTCTTCATGTAGGTTCTTTTTTATTTTATTTATTTATTTTTGTAGTTGTTGGTTGTGGGTCTTGAACTCTGGGCCCAGGCACTGTCCCTGAGCTCTTCAGCTTGAGGTGAGTGCTCTACCACTTGAGCCACAGCTCCACTTGAGGCTTTTTTGGGTAGTTTATTGGAGATAAAAGTCTCATGGCCTTTCCTGCCTGGGCTGGCTTTGAACCTCGATTCTCAGATCTCAACCTCCTGAGTAGCTAGGATTACATAGGTTAGCCACCAGGGCCTGGCTGCTCTTTTATAATACCTTATGGGATAGATAATTATCTTATTTAATATTTAGGTCTTGTTATTAGTGATGAGGTATGAGTTAAACATGTACAAACAGTAAAACCAGAGAAATAATTTTAAAGAAACAATAGATGTGATTTTTACTATTTTAGGGGCTCCTTAGCAATATGAATATCTTGGTGCATTCATACTTTTAAAAACCTTTGTAAAAATGTTAGGTGATATGACAAAATTAACGGGACTTAAGAAACAAAGAACTTCCACTCATCTGGTCGAACCACTACTAAATAACCCCATGCTGCTGATCACATGTATAGTATATATGTGTACACCGGAGGGAAACCAGGAAGACGACACAGAACTAGAGGGAATCAGGGAAAAACATACAACAGCGGGACCCATTAGCTGCACTGGACATTGACCAAAATGAACTAAGCAACTTAATGGCAGCAATGGGAGGGAGGAAACAAGTGGGAAAGAGGGAACAGCTGATGCTATGCAAAACAAAAGAAATGTACATACCACCCAATGTGGAAGAAATAACTGTATTGCAAAGCTCATAGAACTGATGAATGTTATAGACCGTGATAGACAATTTGCTCCAGGAAAGTTAGAATGTGTTTGTGACTTTAACTAAGCATCACTATCCCACAATACTGTGAAATTTGGGAAATTATATAATCATTTAATCAAAAAATTAAAAAAGGAAAAAAATTAAAAACCTTTGTAAAAGTATTCATTTTTAAATGAGTACATAAAATAGTAAAGAAAAACATTAAAAATAGTAATAAAGATGTTTGGTAATTCATACATATTTAAAAATCTATGCACTTACATTCTCTGTATTTCCATGATTCATTGTGTCTCTTTTGAGAACACATTAGCTTTTTGCTGCTTCATGACATGTACTCGACATAAATTGTGCAGGTGTAAAATACACAGTTTTATCAGTTTTGACCTAAGTATATGTTCCTCAAAACTATTCCATAGTTAACATACCCATTATTCCCAAGAGTTTCATTGAGAACATTCTTAATGTCTGAGTTATGTTTTGGTTACTTGTTTATATATTTAAATCCCAGAGTGGACTGTCACCTTCTGAGCTGGGATGGCATTCCTTTATCATGTCATATTCAAAAGTGAGCAAAGGTATAATATACCAACTGGTATGGAAACTTTCTTTTGAAGAAAACAATGAGTCTACTTTTACTTGGCCTATATTAATTTGGATTGTTTCTGTTTTTTAAAAATTTTAGAAAGTATTTTTGTTCTCATGTAATTCCCTACCTTTTCTTTGTGGCAGTTAGAAATTTGCATATTTAATATTGACTTTTAAAATCATACTGTTTAAGTCATGCCAAAGCTTACAAATAAGTTAACTTTATGACATTTAAATATAATCTAACTTCTTGAATTTATTTTTCCTTAGTTCATCCCTCCTTTTAAATGGGAAGCAAATTCATATAGCTTACTTGAAAGAATTTGACAAGTTGTTGTTAATTGGCCTACCTGCTGAAGAGTAAGTTGAGATTTTTATTTAATATAAGAAATATTGGTAACAAATCTGGTATCATTAAAATGGTGACATTTGATCAAAAGACAGACTACTAATGAGTGTTGTGATGTAACGCTATGTTGTGAAAGTGTAGTGGTTACCTATATTCATCTAGTATGAATAGGGTATAAAGATGCACCAAGGTTCCTCTGGACACACAGAGGCTATGGGCTATCTGTACACTTTTCTCTTTTGTGATACAGAGGTGGCTGATAGATGAGCTTGTCTTCTGCTCAGAATTTTAACAGTGTTTTAATACAGATTTTACATATTTTCAATTTACTACCGTTGTTGGAAAATTAAGGGTCAGCAGAAGGATATTTTGTCCAAGGTTGAAGGTCTTTAACAAAACATTGAGTATCTATAACTTCCCTAGTGATACATCTTAAACGATTACATCTTCCTCATAGCTTTTTTTCAAGTATTTTGAAATACATCTTATTTTTGTAGTTAGTAGTAGAGGCATGATTGACACTCATAATTAACTGACCATGGACTGGTCTGAACATGGACTGTATGAGGTGCTTTATTTTAATTAATCCCATTTAATTTTAACTATTAGCTCCAGATGTACTAGTGATTAGTGGCTCCATTTTACAAATGAGGAAAGTGAAACCAAAAGTAAAGCTTAGGAGTCAGATAATCAGCATGAGGTTGAAGTGGAAACTGAATCATAATGTGAGTTCTTCCTACTACATGGATTTTAAGAAAGGAAAGTGGACCAAAAACTTTCAAAAGAACAAAACCATCATCCAGCCAATCTGAGCTATTATATACCACTATTTTCTATTTGTTAACCAGATTTCTTTTTGTTATGTAATAGTAATTATCTATTTCTGCATAATAAACTATTTCAAAAAACTCTATTTAAACTGAAGAGGTAAACATTTATTATCTCATAGATGCTTAATGGCTCAGAAATCTAAGAGCAATGTTAAGTCGTTGTGGCTTTTGGTCTTGGAACCACGGTGGATTACACCCTCAGTTACTGCCTTGGTTCCTTGCCACAGATACCTCTTGTTAGAGCTACTTGGGTGTCCTTAAAACATGTCAGCTGGCTTCCCCCCAAAATCAAAGGGTCTAGAAGGGAAAGGGAAGTGGCAGGACCTTTTGAGTTCAGTCTTAGAAGTGATATACTGTATATACAGACAAGAAGCGAGTTGATAAGTTCTCAAGAAGAATTTCTTGAGAAAAGTACTTGAAGATGGCTGCAATAAAAAAAAAATACCAGAATTATGTTTTAAGCTGGGTGTCAGTGACTCACACCTATACTTTTAGCTATTCAGGAGGCTGATACCTGGAGGATTGAGATTTGAAGCTAGCTTGGGCAGAAACTCCATCTCCAATTAACCGGCACAAAACAGGATAGGCTCAGTTTGTAGAGTGCCTTGAGTAAGAAAACTAAGCAAGCTCCAGAGGCCAGTGGCTCACGCCTGTCATCCTAGCTACTCAGGAGGCTGAGATCTGAGGATTGCGGTTCAAAGCCAGTCTGGGCAGGAAAGTCCTTGAGGCTCTTAAATAAACCACCAGAAAACTGGAAGTGGCGCTGTGAGACAAGTAGTAGGGTGCTCACATTGAGCTAAAGAACTGAGGGACAGCACCCAGGTCCAGAGTTAAAACCCATGACCAACAGGAAAAGAAAAACAACAAGCATGAGGCCAAGTTCAAGCCCCCATACTGGAAAAAAAAAGTTTTTATGTTTTGAAGGCTTAATTTTGATAAAAGAGATACAATTATATATGTGGGTTTCAAAAATTTTAACATGAAGGGCTAATGGTGCTTAGACACCCACCTGCTGTATGTGGCACTCTGTCTGTGAATGGATTATAATGGACTGTGGTAGGCGGCTGCTGGATACCAGTGAGTTGGAATATGAAGAACTAGGTAATTGAAAGTATGAGTTTATAAGAATTAGAGAATAGGGGCTGCGAAGGTGGCTCAGTGGTAGAGCACTTGTCTTGCATGCCAGAGGCCCTGGGTTCGATTCCTCAGTACCACATAAGCAAAAAGCAAAAAGCCAGAAGTGGCGCTGTGGCTCAAGTAGTAGAGCGCTAGCCTTGAGCTGAACAGCTGAGGGACAGCGCCCAGGCCCAGAATTCAGGCCCCATGACCGGACAAAAAAAAAAAAAAAACCCAAAAAACAATAAAATCTTAAAAAAAAAAAGAATTAGAGAATATCCAGTATAAAATAATTCAGGAAATAATGGCAGCGGAAAACATTTGTCTTAAGACTTTTTTGTAGTAATCCAAAAGACAAGAGAAGAAACAAACAAAAAACCCATTAGGAGCACAGGAAGTTAGAGAAGGAAAGGAAGGAACCAGCCACAGCTGGTAGACAGTTTGTTAAATTTACACGTTGAACTTATGCTAGAGTTTACCTATTTGATTCTTGCTAGAAACCTAAATCTGGAGCTAAAGGTGATCAAGTACTAATGTAATAAGCAATGGTTTTCCACAGTTTGACTCATAATTGACATATAGACCTTATATATAGTCTTTTAGATATATATCATTGTGATTATGCTATAAATAAAAAAGGCACATTTTTGGTCTTCCTAGAGTTCCTCTTCCCCAACTAAGGAATATGATAGAAGATGTTTCCCAAACCTTAAAATTTATGTATGCTTCTTTAGATGGGTAAGTATTTCTTTGAACTAATCTCAAAGGTTTTTTCTTTCTGTTTTTGTGCCAATCCTGGGGATTGAACTCCGGGCCTCGGTGCAGTCCCTGAGCTTGTTTGCTCAAGACTAATGCTTAACTACTTGAGTTACAGCTTCACTTCCAGTGTTTTGGTGGTTAATTGGAGATAAGAGTCTCATGTACTTTGCTATCTGTGGCTTCACATTAGCATCCTCAGATCTCAGCCTTCTGATTAGCTTCAATTACAGGCAAGAGCCACTGGCTTCAAAGTGGTTTTGAATATATGATTTTATACTGCCTTCTGCACTTTATAGTACTTTTAGTTGTTTGGCTATCCTTTTCATCCTTATAACTTTCATATTTTACTACTGTACTGGGTTTTCTCTTATAATGTGAAACAGTTTTTCACTTAGTCCATCCCCCCCCCTTTTTTTTGGTCAGTCATGGGGCTTGAACTCTGGGTCAGTGCGCTGTCCCTGTGCCCCTCAGCTCAATGCAAGTGCTCTACCACTTGAGCCACAGCATCACTTCCAGTTTTCTAGTGGTTTATTGGAGATAGGAGTCTCTTGGGGACTTTCCTGCCTGAGTTGGCTTTGAACTGTGATCTTCAGATCTCAGCCTCCTGAGTAGTTAGGATTACAAGCGTGAGCCACAGGCGCGCAGCTGTTCTTTTCCTTTTTCCTGTTTTTTTTTTTTAATTTGGTCTCACTCATATTACTTTAGTAAAAACTTTTCGTGAAAAATACCATTCTTGATGCTATATTATAATATATACTGATATAATATATGCTGCTTTATTTCTGTAGGGACAAAGGTTAAGTATTTTTGTATAATATAGAAAGAAGAGTAAAATTTTAAGTGACCTTGTTTTTCTGTTTGAGAACATTACTAAATTTACTATCATAAAATATTTCTTTCAAAGTTTTTAGCTAAAAGAAATCTATTGACTAGTTTCATTAAGATACACTTATTAAGCTACAAATCTATTGACTAGTTTCATGTGTATTCTTCCCTATATTTTCTGACCAATATGAACATAATGCTCTTTTTTTATACAGCTAATCCATATTACATGTTTTTCTGCTTCTTGCTTTTGTAACCTTATAATATGATGCATATTTCTGTATGTAAAGGAATAAGTCTGAAGTAATTGTTAAACATTTGAACATACAGAATTTGGGTATTTGTTGGATGAAGCAGTGAACATTATTTTGGAATGTTATTATTGTATGTACTAGTTACTGTATCATGTAGGGAACCATTCAAATTAATAGTTACAGTTAATGCTCTGTTTCATATGGTGAAATCCTAGCATTCAGTAGCTCTCTTTTCCTCCCCTTCCTCGCTCTTCTCTCTCTTTAATAATAATGCCTACAATTGAGGGAAAGAATAATTTAGCTCCTTATTTTGTAATTACTTCTACACTAGTAATGAGTGTGGTAAGAAAGAATACTTATTATATACAAGGTAGTTTGCTTATGTTTGATTGTCTTAACTCCAGAGTTACAGAAATTCAGAGACAGATTAGGTTATTTGTCCTATGAGAATGATCTAATAAGGACAATATTAAGATTCAAAGTCAAATGTGTACTATTACAAAGTCCAATCTTTTTATTATTCTGTTGCTTGAAAGACAATAGAAATTTCAAATGACAATGAAAGGAAAGAAAGAAAGTGAGAAGTAACAGATAGGGTGAACTTCTAAAGACTCTCTCCTCAGTAACAGTGTAACAGTGAGTGTGGACATGAGGGACAAAGAGAGTCTAGAAGTTAGGAAAGAGCCAATCTCCTTAGGAGCACACAAAAATGACCACCATAGGTTATTCTAACTTACAGCTCTTATTTTTTCAGCGCCTTTTGCCAGGTTGAGAACATACCTTGTTTGGATCATTTTTTCTACTTGTTCTTTCAAAGAGCACTTCAGCAGGCTAAGCTACATTCCAGTGTCTATCCCAGTGCTCAACAGTATGATGTTTCTAGTTCAGTACTTCTAGACAACCTCCCTGGAGTTCAGTGGCTCGTACTTCCACAGGAAATCAAGGTAATCTTAGGTGATAAATAAGAATCAGAACCATTGCCTTTACTTTCTTTTATTTTCCTTAGGCTTTTTGTAATTGTTGGGAGTATGGGTAAGAATTAATAAGGCAGTTGAGCTGGGCAGTGGTGGCTTGTGCCTGTTTTCCTAGCTACTCGGGGCTGAGATCTGAGGATCATGATTTGAAGCCATCTGGCACAGTAAAGTTGGTGAGACTCCTATCTCCAGTAAACGCCTCAGAAAAAGCCAGAAGTGACTGTGGCTCAAGCAATAGACACTAGCCTTGAGCAAAAAAAAGCTCAAAGACAGCACCTAGGCCTTGAGTTCAATCCTTAGGACCAGCACATTTTTTTTTAAACAGGGTTGGGGGACAATTGGTTAATGAGGTTGAAAGTCCAATGGAGTAAACTCAGCAAATGACTTTTTTTTAATTTTTGCCAGTCCTTGGGCTTGAACTCAGGGCCTGAGTACTGTCTCTGAGCTTCTTTTGCTCAAGGCTAGTGTTCTACCACTTTAGCCACAGCACCACTTCCAGCTTTTTTTGTGTATGTGGTACTGAGGAATTGAACCCAGGGCTTCATGCATGCTAGGCAAGCACTCTACCACTAAGCCACATTCCCAGCCCCAGAAGATTCTTTATAAATCAAAATTGGGTCTTTATTTTTATTTTGTACTTAAACTTTGTCTAAACTCACTTCTTTCAGAAATCATAATTAAATTGTATATCTTAGTATAAAATGTTATGACTTTGATTTTTATAATGTAAAGTCAGAAACGAGGGTTTGGTTTTTCTTGTCAGTTGTAGGACTTGAACTTAGGTTCAAGGAACTGTCCCTGACCTTTTTTGCTCAAGGCTATTGCTCTACCACTGAGACACGGTTTTCTGGTGCTTAGTTGGAGATGAGTCTCACAGATTTTCTTGAACAGGCTAGCTTTCAACCACAATCTTCAGATCTTAGCCTCCTTAGTATCTAGAATTACAGGCAAGAGTCACTAGCACCCAGCTTCAGAATTATGTGTACAGAATGATTAACAAATAGTGTTAATGAAAAAACTGGTGTAATGAAATAGCTAGTTACTAATAGCAAAATAATTCATTATTTTTCTCTTTTTCTTATTCTGGTGCCGGGTATTAAATCCTGGGTCTCTTAAATATATTCAACCACTAATCTACACTAGCAAGCCAGCAAAATCATGGTTTTTGTGGTTGTTGTTGTTTTATGGTACTGAGTATCAAACCCAGAGCGTTGTATCTGCTAGACAAGCACTTTTCCACTGTACTCAGCGCTAGCAAAAGCATTCTTTACACAACTATATGTATTTAACTTTAATGAATTTTATAAATCCAGTATAATTTTTGAAGATATAATAAATTTTCAGCAGTGTGGCATATAATGTAATCTGTTTAGTGACAGCATTTTTGTCAGTCTTAAATGAAACACTAATCAGGCGCCGGTGGCTCATGCCTCTAATCCTAGCTACTCAGGAAGCTGAGATCTGAGGATTGTGGTTCAAAGCCAGCCCAGTTCAAGCCCCACAACCAACAAAAAAATAAAAAAAAATAGAAGGCCCTTTGCTCCAAGCCTGCCTCATGCCCATTCTAGGATCTTTTTGCCTTGGAGAAGCACGGGATCTTCAGAGTCACTTCTTAGGTGAGAAGATGCCAGTTCATGAGACTGCCATTCCAGTTGGCAGTTACTCAAGCTCTTGTCTGTCTGAGAATCTCTTCATTAAAGACACCTCTTTCTTCAAAATAGATAGTTTTTGCTTTCCATAATAGTAAGTGTGCTCGTTTTTAAGGATAATGTCTTTAGAATTTAGATACATTAATATTAAAATATGATCTGCTTCAGAAGTTCAAGACATTTAAAAGTGGATATATACATATATAGTATATATTATTTTTATTGTAAAGATACTGTACAGAGGGGTTAGTTACATGAATAAGGTAATGAGTACATTTCCTATCGATCATTGTTACCTCCTCTTTTGTTTTTCCCCTACCATCCCTTCCTTCTCCACCTCCCCAACCCCTCCCTCCCAAATTGTGAAGTTCATTTCCAACATAGTTATCTTGTACATCTCATTGTTACAATGGGTCAACCTGTATCCTTATTTGAGCATTTTATTATTTCCCTTCCTTTCCCCAAGTTAGAAAAATGTATACACAAGATGCAGAGCACCAGAATCAAATATAGTGAAAACGGGTTATACCATGGGGGAAGAACATACAAAAGAAACAGAAAAATCACATGGTACATTATAAATACATTAAAAACAACAAATATATATTAATTTATATTTTTTGTTGGCTGTGGGGCTTGAACTCAGGCCTGGGTGTTGACTTTTAGCTCCTTTGCTCAAGGCTGGCAAGCATTCTGTCACTTTGAGCTACAGTACTACTTCTTGTTTTCTGGTGGTTAACTGGAGATGAGAGTCTCATAGCTTTTCCTCTGGGCTGGCTTTGAATTGCTATTCTCAGGTCTCAGCCTCCTGAGTAGCTAGGATGACAGGCACCAGCTGTCAGCATCAGGCAAAAGTGTATCTATTTTGGTCATAAATTTCATCTGAATGCTGTGCCTCATATTTGGATATCTTTCTTATTGGAGACTTTTCTTAATTTAACACAGTTTGGAGATCCTCATATCTCAGCTTCTTGAATAGCTAGGATTATATGTGTGAGCCTGCACTGCCCAGATATTAAACAATGTTCATATAATATTTTTTCTTTAGATGGAATTAGACACAGCATTAAGTGACCTGGAGGCTGCAGACTTTTCAGAACTGGTAAGAGGAGGAGGGTTTTTAAGAAATTCTCAGTACTGAGGTGTTTTTTTTTTAATTAACTTAATTGTACCTAGAAGGTTTTTATCATATTTACAACTTGTATATAGCATATTTGAATCAAATTTACTCTGTTTTTTTTTTCTTAACCACTTCTCCACCTATCCCCTCTTTAACTTGTTGGGAGTATTGTGTTCTTTCACGCATATATATGTAATTTAACTATATTCCATGGGTTTTCCCCCAATAGTTCCCCTTTCACAATCATGCTGCTTGTTTTTAAGATTACATGCTGCACATTAACAAAAACGTGATATTTGTCTTTCTGAGATTATCTTGCTTAGCTTATCTCATTTAATATAATGTTCTCCTGTATTCATTTCTTAACAAATGACATAATTTCATTTTTTCTTTATGGCTGAATAGTACTTGATTGTTACATATACCATGTTTTCTTTATCCAGTCATCATTTGTTAGAAACCTAGGCTAGTTCCATATCTTGGTTATTGTACGTAGTACTGTTATAAGCATTGTATGCAAGTGTCTTCCTTATATGTTGGTCTACATTGTTTTGAGTAGTATATAGCAGAATAATACACAAATTCTATTTTTACTTTCTTGAAAAACCTCTATACCAATTTTTGTACTAGCTGGATTAATTTATATTCCTATCCACAGTGTATAAAGATTTCTTTTCTCCACACCCTCACTAGCATTTGTTGTTGCTTGTTTTCTTGATAATAACCTTTATGAAAAGTATGAGACAGAATTTCAGTGCCACTTTGATTTGCATTTCCTTTATGACTAAGGATGCTGAATATTTCTTCTGTTTATTACTCACTTGAACCTTTTAAGAACAATTTGAATTAGTTTGCACATTTTTATTTTAATTTTATCAGGGTGATGTACAGAATGGTTACAGTTATTATTAGTCAGGTAATGAATACATTTCTTCCTTTCCTCCCTTCCTCCTTCCCTCCCTTGCTCTTTCTCCTTTCTCTCTCTTTCTCCCTCCCTTCCCCTCTCTTTATCTCTTCCTTTCTCTCCCTTTCTTTCTTTTTCTCTTTTCTTCTTTCTCTTTCTTCCTTTCTTCCTTTCTTCCTTTCTTTCTTTCTTTCTTTCTTTCTTTCTTTCTTTCTTTCTTTCTTTCTTTCTTTCTTTCTTTCTTTCTTTCTTTCTTTCTCTTTCTTTCTTTCTTTCTGCTTAAACTCAGGACCTTTGTACTGTCCTGAGCTTATTTTGCTCAAGGCTAGCACTCTGCCACTTGAGCCATAATGCCACTTCTGGCTTTTTCTGTTTATGTGGTACTGAGGAATAGAACACAGGGTTTAATGCATGCTAGGCAAGCATTCTACCACTAAGCCACATTCCCAGCCCCGAGTACATTTTGTTTTGAACAGTGTCACCTCCTCCCCCATTTTGTCTCAGATTTTCCTCTCCCGAAGTTGGATAGTTCATTTCCAATATAGTATCTAGTGAGTATTTCTGCTGAATTGGTTCATCTTTTGTCTCCCTGTTTCTGTGCTTCCCCTTCCCCTCCTCAGATCCAATAATGTATATACAAAAGGTACAGAAATAAGAAATCAGTGACAAAAAGGAATAAAACAAAGGAACAAAAGAAGAAAAAATAATGGTTTCCATTTCTTGGAGTTCATTTTGATAAGCATAATTTTATATGGTCACATGCACATAGCCATTGAGCCATGTGATCCTCTCCTAAGAGTATCCTCCTTTGTTCTGACTATATGAAAGTTTAGAGTGATGTTTAATTAATCATGTCCAAATGTAATTATTTGTCTTTTACTGTCCATTGGATTTAATTGTATATTTATGGATGTATTCTAGTTATTACAAATGAGGGAAGCTGGAAGTGGTACTGTGGCTCAAGGGGTAGAGCGCTTGCCTTGAGCTGAAGAGTGCAGGGACAGCGCCTAAGCCCAGAGTTCAAGCCCCAGGACCGACCAAAAAAAAAAGAAAACAGTAGGAATTAACAAATGAGGGAAACTATGAGGCCTGTGTTTCTTTGGGTCTGGCTTACTTTGCTTAATGTAATTTTTTTCCTAGTCTTTCCATTTCCTCATGAATGGAGCAGAGTCATTCTTTCTGAAGGAAAGTTTGCACATTTATTAACTGGATTGTTTCTTATGCCTTTAACATTTTTTAACTCTTTTTATATTATGGTTAGTAATCCTTTGTCTGTTGAAATAGCTTACAAAGATTTCTCCTGTGAGGGTTTTTTCTTTTTTTTTGCCAGTGCCTGGGCACTGGTCCCTGAGCTGCTTTTGCTAAAATTGAACTCTCTACCACTTTAGCCACAGCACCACTTTTGGCCTTTTCTGTTTATGTGGTATTGAGGAATGGAACCCAGGGCTTCATGCATGCTAGGCAAGCACTCTACCACTAAGCCACATTCCCATTCCGTGAGTTGTCTCTTGATTCTGGAAATTATTTCCTTTGACATGCAGAAGCTTTTTAGTTTGATTCAATGCTGTTTGTCAGTAATTGGAATCCTATTTAGAAAGCAATTCTTTATGCCTTTATTGTTAAGTTTTTACCTTATGTTTCCCTGTATTAGATTTAATTTCAATGTTAACATCTAGATCTTCCATCCATTTTGAATAGATTTTTATACAGGGTGAACAGTAGGAATCTAACTTAATTTTTTTTTTTTTGATAGTGAGGCTTGAACTCAGGGCCTGAGCACTATCCCTGAGCTCTTTTGCTCAAGGCTAGCACTCTTCCACTTTAGGCTATAGCTCCACTTCTGGTTTTCTGGTGGTCAATTGGAGATAGGAGTTTCATGGACTTTACTCCTTGGGCTAGCTTTGAACTCAGATCTCAGCCTCATAATAGAATTATAGGCACAAGCCACTAATGCCCAACTAATTTAGTTCTTACATATGTGAATATTCAGTTTTTCTAACATCATTTGTTGAAGAGACTTTTATCCAACATATGTTTGAGGGACTTTGTGGGGGAGGGGGGTCCTGAACTCAGGGCCTGGGTGCAAACTGAGCATCTTTGTGTTCAAAGACAGCCCTCGTCCACTTGAGCCATAGAGCCACCTCTGGCTTTTGTTTTTGCTTTTTTTGGTTGTGGGGCCTAAACTCTGGGCCTGGGCGCTGTTCCTCAGCTCTTCAGCTCAAGGCTAGTGCCCTACCACTTGAGCCTCAATGCCACTTCTGGCTTTTTTCTGTGTATGTGGTGCTGAGGAATGGAACCCAGGGCCTCATACATGTGAGGCAAGCACTCGACCACTGAGCCACCTTCCCAACCCAGCTTTTTTAGAGTAGTTTATTGGAGATAAGAGTCTCTTGGGAACTTTTGAACCGCGATCCTCAGATCTCAGCCTCTTGAGTAGCTAGGATTTCAGGCGTGAGCCGCTAGTGCCCAGCTCTAGGGACTTTTGACAAAAATCAGCTTGTTGTAGCATTGTGGCGTATTTCTGGATCTTCTCTACTACTGGTCTGCCTGTTCATTTTTTTGCTACTTTATGCTTGTTTTGTTTCTATGGCAGTGTAACATAATTTGAGTTAGATATTTTAATACCTTCAGCATTCTTCTTTTTCCTCAAGATTGCTTGGCTATTTGGAGATTTTTATGCTTCCATGTGACTTCTGGTGTTGATTTTTCTGTTTCTATGAAGAATGACATTGGGATTTTTGTTGGAAATTGCATTGAATCTGTAGATTGCTTTTCAATCCATAAACATGGAAAAACTTTCCATCTTCTAATGTCTTCTTCAGTTGCCTTCTTATGGTTTTAGTTTTCATTATAGAAGTCTTTTTATTTTATTTTTTATTTTTTGGGGGGTCAGGTCATGGGGCCTGAACTCTGAGCCTGGATGCTGTCCCTCAGCTCTTCAGCTCAAGGCTAGCGCTCTACCACTTGAGCCACAGCACCACTTCCAGCTTTTTTCTTTTTGCTTATGTGGTGCTGAGGAATTGAACACAGGGCCTCATGCATGCAAGGAAAGCGCTCTACCACTGAGCCACCTTCCCAGCCCCAAGAAGTCTTTTTATATCCTTAGTTTATTCCTACGTATTTTGTAGAGTACTATAAATGGGATAAATTTACTGATTTCTTTATCTTCCTGTTCGTTGTTAGTATATAGAAGGGCTACTAGTTTTTTTTGTACATTGATTTTGTATCCTATTACTTTAACAAAAGCATTGATCAAATATAAATGTTTTTTTGTGGAGTCTTTATAGTTCTTTAAAGATAATCTCATCTCTGACTTTTTCCCCCCTACTTATGTATCTTTTTTTTCTTCCTTGTATTGGTCTGGCTAGGAATTTCAGTACTGTCTTAGATTTAAAAGAGTGGACACTCTTTTCTCATTTATGATTTTAGAGGAAATGGTTTCAGTTTTTCCACATTTAGTACAGTGTTGGCTATAAGTTTGCCATCTATATTATATATTATGTATATTATTTTGAGGTACATAACTTCTGTTCCTAGGTTCTTCAAGGCTTTTATCATGGTAACATTGAATTCTGTCAAAGACTTTTTCAGCATAAATTGATATGATTATGTAAATTTTTTTTGGTCCAGTCGTGGGGCCTGAACTCTGGGCCTGGGCACTGTCCCTCAGCTCTTCAGCTCAAGGCTAACACTCTACCACTTGAGCCACAGTGCCTCTTCCGGCTTTTTTTCTTTTTGGTTATGTGGTGCTAAGGAATCAAACCCAGGGCCTCATGCATGCAAGGCAAGCACTCTACTACTGAGCCACCTTCCCAGCCCCATGATTATGTAATTTTTGTCCTATATTTTGTTTGTATTCTGTGTTACATTTATTGATTTCCTTCTGTTGAACCATCTTTGCATCCTTAGAATGACACCAAATTGATCATGATATAAAGTTGGCTTTTGCTTTTTTTTTTTTTGACACTCTGGGGGCTTGAACTCTGGGCCTGGGTGCTGTCTCTTAGCTTATTCACTAAAAACTAGCACTCTACCACTTGGCCACAGTTCTACTTCTGGCATTTTGCTGGTTAATTGGAGATAAGAGTGTCATGAACTTTTCTGCCCAGGCTAACTTTGAACGGTGATCCTCAGATCTCAGCCTCCTGAGTTTCTAGGATTACACATGTAAACCACCAGCACCTGCATAATAGGAAATTTTTGTCTTATTAGATTTATTTTAAAAATCCCTGATAGAATAACAAATCCTTTGTAGAAGTCTCTAATCAACAGTAGGTTAAGTGTTTATGAAAGTGTTTCTTTAAACTCAAAAACCAAAAATAAGGTTGTTCTCAGTCAAATAAATATACAGTTATATTTCAGTTATTAAGGAATGTAATTTTCATTTTAAGTATTGTAGTTCAGTAGGATTTTTTTATATACACACACCTCATAATAAATCCACTTTGAATTTTTTTTCCAGTCTGAAGATTACTATGACATGAGACGGCTATATACAATTTTGGGGGCTTCTCTATTTTATAAGGTAAGGTGAAGCTTGAAATATTTTTAAATTGATTACTGTTTACATATATGTAAAGTTAAAAAAATCCATGCATCTCTTTTTTTGGGCGATGTAGGTGCTCTAAGCTTAAGATCTTAAAATAAGACACCTACACATTTATAAACAAATACTTATGGTTTTATTGTTTTTTGCAGCATTGGTAATTGTGTAAATGAGAAACAATATTCAAACACACCTAGTATGTAAGAGCTAAGAACAGTACTTTCTTTTTTTTCTTTTTTCTTTTTTTTGGTTGTGGGGCCTGAGCTCTGGGCCTGGGTGGTATCCCTGAGCTCTTCAGCCCAAGTCTAGCTCTCTACCACTTGAGCCACAATGCCACTTCCAGTTTTCTGGTTAATTGAAGATTAGAGTCTCACAGACTTTCCTGCCTAGGCTGGCTTTGAATTGTAATCCTCAGAGCTCAGACTCCTGAGTAGCTAGGATTATAGGCTTGAGCCAACCTGCACCCAGCATTACTTTCTCAATTACTTTTTCCAGTAATATATTTTTTTATCCTATTGTAGCATGAATTTTTCAAGTAAATCTTGTAACATAAACTTGATTGTACACCAACTTAGACATCAAGTGAATTTCAGTACTTTGATTTAAGAAATATTTTTAAACTCAAAATATGCCATTAACAAAGAATTAAACAAGCCAAGTGCTGGGCTCACAATTATAATCCCACTACTCAATAGGCTGAAATCTGAGAATCGTGATTCAAAGCCAGCTTGTGTAGAAAAGTTCATGAGACTTTTATCTCCAATTAGCCAATAAAACCCTATAACCCTATAACTAGAGTTGTGTCTTAAGTGGTACAGTAAAACTTCAGCAGAAAAGCCGACTAAGAACAAGAGGCCTTTGTACTGGCATGCTCACATGTGCATATACACATATACAAATAGAATCAAACAATACAGAAGGATAAAAAGGATCTTCCCACCTTAATGGCAACATCTCCACTTTGCCTTTTCAGAATTCAGGGTTTTGTTTTTTAATTTGGTAAACATTCAGGGTACTACTACACAGAAGTGATCTTGCTTATGCTAAAGTCTATCTTTTGGGTACCCTAAGTTATTATTCAATATCTAATTTGACCTCAAAAAATAATTCACTTCTGCCTGGGAAGGTGGCTCAGTGGTAGAGCGCTTGCCTCGCATGCCTGAGGCCCTGGGTTCGATTCCTCAGCACCACAAAAGCAGAAAAAGCCAGAATTGGCGCCATGGCTCAAGTGGTAGAATGCTAGCCTTGAGCTGAAGAGCTGAAGGGACAGCACCCAGGCCCAGAGTTTAGGCCCCAAGACCAGCAAAAAAAAAAAAAAGGCACTTTTGCTACATCTTAATTTTTTATGTTTGAAACTAGATTATTTTAAGACAATGAAAATGTTTTTACAAAACTTCAAGATATAGAATTGTTGTTTTGTATCATTTGTTGATTTGCTCTTTCATGGTAAAATTCCAGGGTTATTTGATATGCAGTCATTTGCCTAAGGATGATCTTATTGATATTGCTATCTACTGTCGCCACTATTATCTACTGCCTTTAGCAGCAAGACAAAGAATAGGTCAGTTGATAATATGGAAAGAAGTATTTCCTCGACATCACCTCCAACATTCCACAGACTCAAATTTTGAAGTCTTTCAAGAACCTGAAGGGAGATATTTTTTACTAATTGTTGGACTGGTAAGTTTATCTGGACTTCTTTCTTTAAAGTTTTTTAAAGATCTATTTACTATCTAAGTAAAAGAATATGGGTATGACCTGGTGGCTCACGCCTGAAATCCTGGCTACTCAAGAGGCTAAGATCTGAAAATCAAGGTTCAAAGCCAGCCCGGGCAGGAAAGTCTGTGAGACTCTTATCTCAAATAAACCATTAGAAAACTGGAAGTGGTGCTGTGGCTCAAGCGGTAGAGTGCTCGCCTTGAGCTGAAGAGTGCAGGGACAGCACAGAGTTCAAGCCCCACGAACGACCAAAAAAAAAAATGGGTATGTCAGATACTAGTATTCAAGAACATGTTCTGCTCTCTTTTTCCTTCACATTCATGAAGAAATATTAATAAACTCTGGGATAAGATTTTAGCAAAGTCTGAAGATCTGTTGTCCCCCTTCCTATAGTGGTTTTATCCTTACTTGTTTTGTGAAATAGAATAAGACATGAAAAAAACACAGAATCAAGTTGAGTGTATTGTTGCACACTTAAAGTTCCAGCACTCGAGCTCTGGAGGATCATGAGTTTGAGGCCAATCTGAGCTACCATAAGAAGACCCAGTTTCAAAAACAGACAAACTGCCAGAATGTAGAGTCAGAAATAGAATTACTATGTAATTGTAAATCCAAGGACTTCTAATAATTGAGACTCTTTGAAAGTTGTCTTAGGAAATTTCATGTGCAAGAGAAGTGGCTGATAGTCTATTAAAGTAAGGTAACATTGTTTTTACTTGGTATTAGCCAAGTACCATTGGCTCACACTTGCAGTCATAGCAACTTAGAAGGCAGAGATCCAAGCCTGGCGCCAGTGGCTTATGCCTATAATCCTAGCTACTCAGGAGGCTGAGATCTGAGGTTTGTAGTTCAAAGCCAGGCTGGGCAGGAAACTCCATGAAACTCTAATCTCAAATAAACCACAGAAAACCAGAAGTGGCGCTGTGGCTCGAGTGGTAGAGTGCTAGTCTTGAGCTGAAGAGCTCTGAGGGACAGCCCTCAGGCCCAGAGTTCAAGCCCCATGACTGACAAAAAAAAAAAAAAGAAGGCAGAGACCTGAGGATCTCTATATGAGCCAGCTGGGGCAGACAAATCCAAGAGGCTCTATCTGCAGTTAACCAGCAAAGAGCCAGAAATGGAGGTGTGACTCAGTTGAGTACCAGCCTTGAGTGTGAAAGCTAAGTAAGAGCAAGTTAGAAAGCAGCAGTAGCTTTGATAATCAAGGAGAAATTTGTAATAATCACACAATTATGCTACTGTATGTCTTTAATATGAACTCGGGGCTGGGCCTTTTTTTTTCTTGTTGGTTGTGGGCCTGAACTCTGGGTTTGGGCATTGTCCCTGTGCTCTTCAGCTCAAGGCAAGTGCTCTACCGCTTGAGCCACAGCGCCACTTCTGAACTTTTTTGATCAAGGCTAGCACTGTATTACTTGAGCCAAATTTCTACTTCCAGCTTTTTGGTGGTTAATTGTAGATGAGAGTCTCATGGACTTTCTTACCCAGGCTGGCTTTGAGTTACAATTCTCAGAGCTGGATCTCCTGAGTAGCTTGGATTACAGGCTTGGGCCACTGGCACCCGGCTCAGTATTTATGAATATATTATGTGTAAATATTTTGTGGTAACTAAACTTATACTGATTTTCTTTCATAGAAACATTATATGTTATGTGTACTATTAGAAGCTGGAGGCTGCTCATCCAAAGCTAATGGAAATCCTGGTCCAGACTGTATATATATAGATCAAGCCAAAACAACTCTTCAACAGCTGGAAGGAGTAGATTCTTATATAAATGAACAGCTTAAATCTTCTTCAAACACCTGTTTGTCTTGTGCTGACTGGTTCCTTGCTGGACCACATGAAAAAGTAGATAGTTTGACTACTTCTCCTGTCCTCAGTAGGCTGCAAAGTACTTCTAAAACAGCAGCTTCTCCAACGTGCAGAAGAACACTTTTTGGTGACTCTTCCTTAAAGACACGGAAGCCCAGTCCTTCCCGAAGCAGTGGAGGATCTGACCATGGTTGTGAAGGTGAAGAAGGTGTTAGTACAAATCTGCATACTACACCCGATGTGGTATGGAAGCAAAGAGAATCTCAGGGCTCTGGTGGTTCTGAAGAAAGTGGAGCCTTGCTTAAGGTGAAGTATGTTCGTTCAAGTATATACATTGTAGAAACTAATGTCAAGAGAACTTTTAAAATTGTTCCTCATGGGGCTGGGAAGGTGGCTCAGTGGTAGAGCGCTTGCCTTGCATGCTTGAGGCCCTGGGTTCGATTCCTCAGCTCCACATAAGCAAAAGAAAAAAGCCGGAAGTGGCGCTGTGGCTCAAGTGGTAGAGTGCTAGCCTTGAGCTGAAGAG